CTCCTCTTTCTCCTCCTCCATAAGAGCTGTTGTGTTTAGACGCTCTCCTCACCCTCCTCTTTCTCCTCCTCACCTCCTCCTTCTCCTCCTCTTTCTCTCCTCCTTCTTATTCCTCCTCCTTCTCCTCCATCAGAGCTGTAGTGTTCAGATGCTATCTTTCTCTCCTCCTCCTCCTCTTTCTCCTCCTCACCTCCTTCTTCTCCTTCTCCGCCTCCTCCTCTTTCTTTCCTCCTTCTTATTCCTCCTCCTTCTCCTTCTCCTCCATCAGAGCTGTAGTACTGAGATGCTCTCCTCCTCCTCCTCCTCTTTCTCCTCCTCCATCAGAGCTATAGTGTTTAGACGTTCTCTTTCTCCTCCTCCTCCTCCTCCTCCTCTCCTCCTCCCCTCCTCCTCTCCTCCTCTTTCTCCTGCTTTAGTCTTTAGACGCTCTCCTCCTCCTACTCCTCCTCACCTCCTCCTTCTCCTCTCCTCTCTTCTCTCCTCCTTCTTATTCCTCCTCCTTCTCCTCCATCAGAGCTGTTGTGTTTAGATGCTCTCTTTCTCTCCTCCTCCTCTTTCTCCTCCTCTTTCTCCTGCTGTAGTCTTTAGACGCTCTCCTCCTCCTCCTCCATCAGCGGCGGCGGCGGCGTCTCTCCCGGCGCAGACCTTGGATAAAGAGCTGTAATAAGTGAATGAAAGAAGTCCTTATTTAGTCTAAAATCAGGCAATTTCTATGTAAATGGTCAATAAAGCAGAACTTTTACAAATGCAGAGGCTCTCGTCTTATTGACACGTGGTGGAGGGGAATCGTTTAGCTGCTTGATAGCAGTCATCTTATCTGCAGGAGAGTTTGCTTATCCTGCTCTTATATTAATGTTTCCTGTGATATGAAGTCCTCCCTCAGATAAATATCTGCTCACTCTGCACACGCTCATTATTTAGGCAGGTAATTCCTGCGGCGCGCAGCCACGCCGCATTAACCGCTGCCAGAATATCAATTTCACATCGAGCCCGGGCTGCATTATTGATTGACCGCTGATATTGTTCTGTGACAATAAGAGCCATCGGGTTATTGTTTAATATGGATGATAATGCTGCAGAGCCTCCACCTGGAAATAAGGTCTGCATGTCCCACACCCACCCACCCGCCGAACCAACCAACCCCCACCTGAATGAGCTCTGATTGACTCCACTGATACAGCAGAGAGCGGATAATGAAACGCACGCGCACACACACACACACACACACACACACACACACACACACACACACACTCCTTCAGTGATCAGACTCTGAATCTGTTTCTCTAACATATATCGAACATGTCGGCGTGTTCTCCTCCCATCAACGTCACTTTTAAACTCGCCCACGCCGACAGGAACTGTTTCCTTTAGACCATAAACCGGCAGATGACTCATCCTGCTCTCGCCGTCGTGTACTAACTTTAAGGTCATAAAATACTTCATTAATTTGATGGTTTTCAAACCTGCGTATAAATCCTCCCAGTTGATGTTTGAAGCACAGAACTTAAAACTAGCAGGTTAGCGTCCATGATCTCCTACGGCGCTCCTCCTGGAGATTTACGCTCTGACACTTTCAAACATGCTCAGGAGAGAGTCGGCGTCTCTGCTTCTGTTTACAACCAACATCTAGAATAAAGTCCAAAGGTCAAAGGTTACTTTATTTGTACCTTCAGGTAAATTTTGTTCCAAAGTTCAAAACAACCACCTGTTCATGCAAACTTTACAGGGATATTCTGGCGTAAAATTAATTTAGAGTCAAACACGTGCTTGTTTGTAGCGAGACCTCAGGCCAGTCCATTATGGACTACAGCGGGGTGCCGCAGCTCAAGGAAGAACATTTATGATCATTTCTTTATCATTTCCTTGAAGTAATAATCACCATATTAATCATTTTACAGACACGGTAGTTCTTCTGTCTTAGCGTCTCGGTCTGATTGTATTTCCATGAAGAAATGATCCTAAATGTTCTTCCTTGAGCTGCGGCACCCCGCTGTAGTCTGTAATGGACTGGCCTGAGGTCTCACTACAAACAAACAGCTGCTGGAAGAGAGTAGGTGAGTTGTTTTGTGGCTATAGAGTGGCGTTTTGGTTGAGGGCGTGGCTCTCTGTATTTCTATCCTGCGGTCGTTACTAAAGTTGGTATAACTAGAGAAGCAAGCGGTCGACAACATTCATCTCTGGAGGCGGGGTCTAACTCGGGGTTACAGTGTGTTTGACCCTAAATTAGTTTTACGCCAGAATATCCCTTTACAGTCATCATGGATGTTGGTTCAGGCAGGCCATGGAGTCAAGCTCCGCCCACAGTTCATCAGCTGATCCTATTACGTGACCATATCACCCTCTCCATCCTCATCCTGCTTTACTCTTCCCGGTAAAACAGTTTTTCGATGACAGCGATAACTCGCTCTGACTGAACAATGTTCTTAGAGGACATCTCAACGGTCTCTGTGGACGTGATGAATATGATTCATAATGTATTTGAGTGCTAATGAAAGCTCCAGTGTAGAAACAGACATAGATATTTAACAGATGATGTCTGTGCTGGCGTGTGTGTGTCTGTGCGTCTGAACGCGGTGATGTTTCTGCCGCGCCGCTCGAGTTTGATCCTCTCGCCCGTCGCTTGTCTGGCTGCTGATAAGTACATCCATTTGTAGGGCGATGGTTTATTTATGCTGTTTCCTTTAAATATTCACATTGTGGTGATCCGTGGAGACACGCAGCAACAGATGAGGCGACAAAGCGCCAAAAAACACAGATGGAAGAGAAGTCTAAAAAAGTTAGATTCCTCAGAGGAGCTCTGAATCAGCTCAGGTCACTGATATGAGGAGAGGGTGTGAGCGCTGTAACAGCTGATCTGGGGTCAGAGTTCACCCACAGCTGAAGGTCACACAAAAGAAGCTCCTATTTTAAATATCTACCTGTGAAAGGCTTTTATTTTGAAGGTCTGAACAGTGTGTCTGATAGTAGGTGTGGGTTATATCGGTTTTATTAGAGGTCTGTGTTCCTCACAGCTCCTTGGTGTCAAACACAATGCATGATGGGAACAATAACTGCCTCATGGAGCGTCAGGAGCTCAACAGTTTCCTCCGACATGATCGGCTCAGTGTTTGACACAAAGACTGAAGGACATCCTCCTGTCTGAGCTCAGACAGGAAAGGTCGGACTGAGGGAAACGGTCGGCTGTCTTTATAGAGACGACTCGTTCTCGCGCGTTTGCACGTGAATCCGCAGGTTTTTGTGAGTTCTTGTGATTCCTGAACGTGGAACTGAACTTTGAACTAGTCCAGGTAGAAAGTGAACTTTCCCAACGCTGACTGGATGGTCCTGATCTTCAGGGCATTATAAACAGACAGGACTCTGGAGTGGGAATCACCGCATGGGAAGGACAACTGGACTTACTTGAGACGTTTTAACGAAGAACTGGAAATCCTAGATGCTGCTCAGTGTGTGATCCTGCAGTATTTCAGTCCAGAGGAGTGAGGAGCAGCTGAATCAGGAGGGAAATCATCTCCAACAGTTTGTTTCATCAGCTCCACAAATCAGCCTCAGAGCCGACAGGACCCAGAAATGATGGACGGACCGGGTCTCTGCTGCAGGTGGACTACAGCGAGAGAGCGAGCGAGAGAGAGAGAGAGAGAGAGAGAGAGAGAGAGAGAGAGAGAGAGAGAGAGGGAGGGAGGGAGGAAGCAGATAACAGCTCTGACAGACCTCCTGACTGTGTCCCTGCAGAGACATACACATATACAACAGAGGAGGAGGTCGCTGTGTGTGTGTGTGTGTGTGTGTGTGTGTGTGTGTGTGTGTGTGTGTGTGTTATAGGTGGTTGTTTGAACTCTCTGCATGTTTTATGTGTTCAGGATCATTTCAGAGACACCTGAGATCCGCTCGTGTCTGACAGTATTTCACACAGGTGTGTTGGAGGAAACACACACACTCTCTCTCTCTCTCTCTCTCTCTCTCTCTCTCTCTCTCTCTCTCTCTCTCTCTCTCTCTCTCTCTCTCTCTCTCTCTCTCTCTCTCTCTCTCTCTCTCTCTCTCTCTCTCTCTCTCTCTCTCTCTCTCTCTCTCTCTCTCTCTCTCTCTCTCTCTCTCTCTCTCTCTCTCTCTCTCTCTCTCTCTCTCTCTCTCTCTCTCTCTCTCTCTCTCTCTCTCTCTCTCTCTCTCTCTCTCTCACACTCTCTCTCTCTCTCTCTCTCTCTCTGAGTTTATTCCAGTTCAGTCGGCATCAACAGTCACTCACTGAATTAGACTGAGGGACTCAATAATCAGTTCTGTTGATAGCTGGGAGTTGCAGTCTGGGGTTCCTCAAGGAAGTTCCGTAGGTCCTCTTTACTTTTCCATATTCTCAAATAATCTAGTGTTTTTATGTATGCAGATGATGCCACTCTGTACAGAGCTGCGTCCACTCTAAAGGAGTTAAACAATTGGGTTGCTAAGATTAAACTAGTTCTGAACATAACCAAAACAAAATACATGGTTTTAGGATCCAGACATGTGCTTGTCTGTGATCCTCAACTGAGCCGGAAAGCAAGTGGAAGAGGTAAGAGAGGCTAAGCTGCTTGGCATCATATTAGACCCTAAACTGAATTGGACTAAACACAGAGATAATATAGAGACAACAATGGGAGCGTTGCTGTAACAAGAAAATTTGGTCATTTAATCATCTGCTTCAAAGAAAAACCTGCAAAAAGCTCAAAATAAGTCTGAGAGAAAAGTGCACACATGTCACAGAGAGGGACAGAAAGCTCTTCCTGTTGAGAATAGTTTACATTCTCGTACTCTCACTTTTGTCCGTACTGTTTTAATGGACAAGAGACTACAGCATCTATATGACTGAGTTGAATATACACAAAATGGACATAACTACATGACTAGACAGACACAACGACTTAAATCTACTTTTACCTATCGAGTAATAACAGGATAGAACTAAATACCTAATTATATTAAAAAAATTCAGGCACAAAAATGGTTTTCAAGAAAAGCTTAAAACAACACTTGAGGAGATGAAGTCTGTACTAATGTATTATAAATGATCGTGTCTTAGTTCATATTAATGCGTTCTGTTATTTCCTTATAACACCCTTTTTTCCCATTTTTATTTAATCGTTTGGTAAATGAGTGATTGTATAATCATGGATGAATCTTGACAAAAGCTAATAAATGGGGATCCTAATAAACAATAAATAAACAATAAATAAAACACATAAAGACAAAAAAAAATTTCCTCAGAAGGTCCAAAATGTCCAACAGAAAACACCGGAGTCGCCCCCCATGACTTCAGACCACATGGTCTGATCCAACAGACCAGCTTCAGTATAAAACATAGATATTATGTACCTAGACGCCTCATGACGCGCTGGAGCGTAATCCAGCGTCGCCGCCATATTGGACGGGTCTCTCTACTCCAGGTTTGCTCAAGAGCCAAACGGAGTCACTGGAGAACGAGCAACTATGCCTGGATTTTCACACTATATGGTTGAAAAACCCGACACAGTATTGAAATCATATCACGTAGGATTAAATTTCACATATAGGATTGAAGATAATTTGGTTTGTTTTTCATGTGTGACATTGTCAGGTATTATGGCCACATCCCTGCCATTTGCAACAAACCAAACAGTGTGAAAATCGGGCAGAGATTCAGAGAGTTATTATTAACATGGTTGAGCATTCCTACCTACCTTAATGCACTGGAGGCGCATGGGGGACCCATCCAAGATGGCGGCCGTGCTGGTACGTGAGCTCCAGTAGGCAGCGTCAGGCTTTGAGGCGTCTAAGTATATTATGTCTGTGGTATAAAAGTCCAGACCACTTTTAGCCACACCTTTTTTCACCAACCAGGAAGTGCCCTCCTCACAGCCAGGTAACTCAGGTAACTCAGAGACATCAGACTGACTGTGTTTAATCTGACAGCACACTCAGATTAGACCACATCAGATTAAACTGAGCGATGACAAAGACACACACAGCGAGTTATCTAACCCGATCAGCTCAGTCAGGTTCACTTTCATGCAGATGTTATTAAATCAGAGGTTTATGTTTGTACATTCAAACCTGTAATCCAGTCAGATTAAGATGTAAAGGGATAGACCGCCTCTTTCTCACCTTTACAGCAGAACAGCAGCTTTCATAAATGCTGGTAAAGGTGAAGATAATACCTCCACTGAGGATCCGCTGCTCTCTCAGGTATTAAACACTGTGTTTATTCATGTGAGTAAAAATGGCCAACCTTAAATCCAACCCGAGCGCCCGCTCAGAGCGGCACATTTGGACGGTGGACGTCTGCTCGCAGCAATCAGGGATTGTCAGGGAGAGATTAAAAGATATTTTCCTCTCCAGGCGCAGTAAATTGGTTTTGGATTAAGGCTGATTGATTGGTGCTGAGGTACCAGCAGTCTGAGCACACCGTCATCTCAGCCACAGAGAGAGACCGCAGGAAACCAGGAAACCACAGCCCACGATCAATGATGGAGACGTCACATGACCCGCTTTGTTCAAGGTGACGGTCAAAAACCTGCAGAGGGGATACAAAGAGGAGCTGAGGTTATATTACTGAGGAGGGGGTTAACATGCTGTCAGTCTGTCTGTGTGTGTTTTCATGACTGTGATGGAGGTCGGTCATCTCTGTGAATTAACTAAATCAGTCTAAAAACAAACATCTATATCTAAAGTCTGTTTCAGAAACACTTAAAGGTACTCTGTGATTTAAGGTAGGTACACACACGGGATAGGTAACCACATACACGGGGTAAATTGACCGAAGGAGACCACTTTTTTAACATGCTATATTATCAAGATGACAGTTCTGTTTAAACTCATTCTGTTGGTTTACAGGGATGAACAACATCCTGAAATATCTGCAGAGACACGAGTTAGAGACAAAAATAGGATTGACCTGATGGAGTGATCTGAAATATGAAAAATGGATCATCTTACCCCACTCTCCCCTACTCTGTAATATAACTTTAGAGGTACTCTAAAATCAGTATTCAAGTTGTGAAAAAAATTAGGGAGATGGTGAATTTTATTGTTTGTTTAGATATTTTGTTCTGATGACAGTGCACACAGTGGGAAACCAACTGTGTACCCATTTTATCGTTACTAAAGCACAAAGATAATTATTATATTACATAATCCCTCAGATTGAGCTGTACATGTCAATTGTCCATGATACTGAAATTTAAAAAGGAAAAAAAGTGTCTCCTCACTCAGAGTATTTCACTAAATATGCACAAAGCCCTCACTTAAACAATCAAAATATAGTGGAAAAACACAAGTGTAGTGGAAAACACAGTACTTACGGTGATAGGATTTATTTACAGCCGGCCTTCCAAGGTGCAGAAAAAGTCAGTGTCAGTTACCTTCCATACAACAAACTCCAGACTAAAAGAAACAAAGGCCCAAGAAGCCTTTTTTAAACCCCCTTAGCCCCGCCCAGACTTGGGTGTTATCAATTACATAAGTTGGGGTGGGGGGAGAGACTCATTACTCACATTTAAACCATTTTTACTATTTTTAACCTTCAAACCTTTTTCTGTGAATTTCTGCCATTTTAACTTCTTTTTTACACAAATCAATGGAGCTTTAATTTTTAGGGACTCATGACAAACAACAAGGGAATTAATTTTTCTTGCATCATGTGACCACTTTGACCCTCCATACACACCTATTTTACACCCGGAAATCACGCGCTCTGTTTCCTTATTTGGAAACATGATCCGGCATGATGGCGCGAATGGACGCTCGGTAAGTAAGTGAAGGGATGAATATCTGTGTGAATGAATGTTTAAGTTAACTGATAGAGCTCCAAATGATCTAACAGAGAAGGGAGAAGAAAAAGTAGAGCTGTTTGGAGGGTAATTAGACGCTGGAGGGGAGGGAAAACTCTGTGTGAAGGCGGAAGTTGAACGAGGCGCATTTGTCGCGGGCGTTACTTCCGGTTAAAAATGCTAACGGTTGTGTGAATGCTATATTAACCTCACTGACTCCTTAGAGTGATTTACTGCTGTTTCCCAAAACTAATCAGAGCTGTAACACTGTTAACAAGTGCCTGATACTTCACAGACAAAAACACTGATCAATGTGAGCTTAAAAGAGTGGTTATAAAAGATCGCTAATGACGCTAGCGTCGAGCTAACCGCTATCATAAGCTAACGGTTAGAACAGGGGCGTAGTGCGTGACGTGCAGCGCGGCCATTTTGACAGACATAACAACACTAAGCACATTGGAATGAATGAAATTAGGATGTCTTTAGGTTTTAAAAACTAACTATTTATTAGCTGACTACACAGTAACAGAGAACAGAATGGAGAGAGCAAAACTTGGACTCAACATACCGTACAGGGACGAGCTGAACAATGAAGAAAGAGAGCGTTACTGAAGCTAAATTGAGGACATTGCAGGACTCAACCCATATGAACACACTGTATTGTCAGAGGGTGAATTTGAGATGCTACCACCACTTAACCGAGTGCATGTCAAAATGGCCGCACTGGCACGTCACGCACCGCAGCCCCCGTGCTGACGTGGGTGCTGCTATACTTAATACTGCTGCTACTTTGGTTAGCGTAGCTACTGTTGTAGCATTGTGAGCAGAGCAGTGATAGTGTTTTACACATAGACTGTACTTGGACAACTTCTGCTTTCTGTCATTATACAAATTTGAAGCCGAATTACTCTCTGTATTTCCGGGATTTTCTCCACTTCCTGGAAGCAGAATTTTTTTTGTAGGGTGGTAGGGGGAAGGTCCCGCCTCCTTCGCCTCTGATTGGCTAGAAGTGCTGGGCCCTGACTGGTTATTCCCTATGGCTGTGATAAGTCATCTTCTGTTGGGTTATGCTGCGTTCGAGTGACCTCTGACCTTAGATGTATTCTTTAACCCTTTGGCATCTGTCATCTGTTTAAACATTTGTTTAAAATTCTCATTTGTCTCCATTTATTTCCACCTGTCTCCATCTTTTCTCACCTGTCCACTGGTCTCAATCTACCTCCATCTATTTCCATCTATCTCCACCTGTCTCCATTTACCTCCACCTGTCTTTAGTCTAGACTCTGGGTGACTTGGTCCTCTACCTCAGTCGTGTTTTTACTCCTCTAAATGAGGAGGTGTTGAATTAAGTCCGCTTCGTTCAGTCTCAGTGGGGTAATAAGAGGGTCAGGACTCTTTGGCCCGGCTTTTCTTCAGATGGGGGTGGGTTGGGTGGGGGGGCTCCCTCCTGACCCATTACTGAAGGTGATTCTCAGACTTTTCTGGAACTTCTCTCTTTTTTCACCCACAGACAGAGTCGGCCTGCAGGGGAGAGAAGTTGTCATTAAAATTAGCGATCTCCTGACCCCGATGAGGCTCTTATAGTGGCGGCAATTACTGAGTGTGTCTTTAAGGAGAGGCAGCGTGGTCGTTAGTGTGGACTGTCCCCCGGCTTATTCCCCAGAGAGAGGAAGAGGGAGTGAGGGGCTGAGAGCAGGATCTCAAAGCCTCCTGACGGCCTGAGAGGACTCCACTGAAGAGGGAGAGGGATGAAGAGTCCTCCAGTTAAATGTCAGACCCTCGGTGAGGAGCTTCTCTGAAGGACAGGGATCTGAAACTCTGCTGATGAGACACAAACACAGGTCTGAGGGAGGTCCTCATGTAGACCTGCTGTTGTCTCTGCAGGACTCTCCATAGGAACACTGCTCCACCTTAAGTCCTGCATCACACTCACAGGACACATAGATTTAATACAGATGTTAGTGTGCAGATGGTGGACAGTCAGTGTGAGGTCATTCTTGAGTCTGTTTGATATTCTCACTGAGCTGAGGGCTGATTTAAGAGCTACTAACTGACCTGATCGTTTCCTCAGATTAAAGCAGCTGTAAGCGTTTTTCTCTTGTTAGGATGAACTTTAACAAACATTCATAGAGATGTAGAAGTCCTCAAACATGCACTTCCTCCAGAGTCCACTAGAGGCAGTGTCCTTCAGTGAGCCCCTTGTGTCCTCATTTTTAATGATGATTTGGAGGATCTTTGGCGTCCATGATGCTGTTGCTTGGCAACCGTGTTCCTGGTTGAACCTCAGGTTTAACTTTAACTTTTGACTGAAAATGAATCAGCATCGTTTACTTGAAGACGCTTCATCAGTGACTGATCATGGACCTTCAGGTCTGCAGAACCGGCTTTAACGGACCCTGATGGACCTGAACTCTGACCCTCAGAGAAGTGACCTGAAACCCTCAGAGACGGGTTCGAGTTTGAGGTGATTTAGACTCTGAGAACAGTTTACTCTCCATCACTCTCAGTTTCTCCATCAGAGCAGAGATTACACCTCCTCCCCCCTCCTCTGTAAAGAGCAGCAGCCTGACTCCTCTCTCTCTCTCCCTCTCTCTCTCTCTCTCTCTTTAGCTCTGCGGCTAATTAGGTGGTGACAGCAGAGCCACTGATTGGCATTATAAAGCTGCACTATCACTGCTCACCGGTACCAGACCCTCCTCCCCCCTTCCTCCCCCCTCCTCCCCCTCTCTGTGTCTGTTCAAAGTTTACATCAGAGGAATTATTTCAGATAAAAAGACTCTCCCCTGACAGATATTATCATCACAAGCCTTCATGGAGAGAAAGGAGAAGAAGTGCTAACTTACTTTTTTCCTTCCCCTCTTTTGCTCTCCTTCACCGTCTCCCCCCCCTTCCCTCCCCTCTCTGCCTCCCCCCCTCTGCGCCTCCCAGTGGAGGAGAGAGGGAGAGAGGAGGAGCAGAGAGTGAGTGAGCTCTGTCACTGCTAAGTCTGGCTGCACTACAAAGGTTAGCAGATCTGACTGTCAATAGTGTCTTGTGGGTGGGAGGGGGAGGAGGAGGGGGGAGGCAGGGAGGTGAGGTGGAGGGTGGAGGGTGGAGGGGGCCGGTCGCTTTGAGAGAAAGAGATACTTTGATATTTCGGAATGTTAGAAGGGTGAATGTGGAGAAGTGGAGGTTGGGGATCTAATTACCGGGCCATAATTGGGGGCTGGGGAATAGGTTGCCGTCCTCTCAACTCGCTGCAGATCAATTATGTTAAGAGAACATCTGTAAGTAGAGCTTAATGAGGTCCATTAGAGCAACATGCGCTGCCTTCCCTAACGCTGCTTGTCAGCTTCTTGGATGAGCTGGAGTGTGCTGCTGACTGGGGACCTGCTGGAGGGGCTTAAATAGGAGAGGAGGCTCCACTCCGCAGCGCTTTCCTCCGCCGGAGAGGCAGCAGACAGACACACCGGAGCGGAGAGGAGAGGACACGGACACACCGGAGCGGAGAGGACAGACTCTGTACAGGCTCGGACCGGGACGTTTACATGTGGCATCCCCAAAACTTGACCCGGACTGTTCTCCAACTCCTGCCGCCTCCTTCCTCCTCCTCCTCTTTAGCGCAGCTGGAGTTCAGAGAGTTTCTGAGCGGACACTTTGCTTCCAGAGAGAGGAGAGACGCTCGGCTGCTGGGTCTGATTCTGCGCACTCCTGGCTCTACTTCAAGGTACGGATTTGGCTGATTTGCTCCGAAACGCAGAGTCGAGGCTGCGCGTAACGAGCGCGGCGCGGAGAGCGGAGCGCGGCGCGGAGAGCGGACCGCCGCGTCCGTCCTCAGCGCGGGGTGAGGAGGCTCTGTGCAGTGAGTGCGTTCGTGTGTGTGTGTTTAAAGGTGTGTTTGATGAAGGTGTGTGTTTTAGGCGAATGTTCCCGCTCGTGTCTCCGTGCAGCGGTCTGTTCGTCTCCGCTTCCTCCATCCTCCGCTCCCAGAGAGAGGGGGGAGGAGGGGTGAGGAAGAGCCGGAGCGAGCGGTGAGTGAAGGCAGGGTGAGAGAGGTGGCAGCCTCACACACTCTGCAGCAAATAGCGTGATTAGGGAGATAGCGCGCGCTGGAATAATTCAATCCGTGACCAAAGCTAATTAGAGTCAGGTAATACCTGTCAGCTTTAATGCAGCTCATCACTCACGGCGCGGCGCGAGCTGCGCTTTATGACCCATCTCATTATCTGCCCGCTTGGGCTGCAGCCGCACGCCAACTCTCCCCCCTGTCTCCTCCTCCCCCCCTCCCTCCTCACCCCTCACAGGAATAGTTAAGAGCAGAAGTTGTCAGGGACACGGCCGGAGGGTGAGTGGGGGACAGGGGGGGACTGAACCCGGAGTCTCAGACTCTTCAGGACCACAGCAGGTCGATGCACTATATAAATGATTGGGGGGGTTAATGTTGATTTTTAAAATTTCACAATCTAACACTTGCCGTATTTTTCGCACTATAAGACGCACCTGATTATAAGGCGCACCATCGATGAACGCGTCTATTCACGTCCATTTTCAAACATAAAGCGCACCGGACCATAAAGCGCGTTAAGCCAAACAAAACAGTCAGATAAGTCAAACTTTATTTGCCTCATTCAATAACTCCGCGAGGATACGGTAGCTGCAGCGCTTCGACATGCCAAACGGATTTTAAGTGCGCCTTATAGTTAGAAAAATACGGTAACTGGTTCAGAAATCTCCATGGCAACCAATCATGCGCCATCCTTTTCTGAGAGGCTCTTCATTAGTTTAATCTAAACCTGAATATCTGTGAGGTGACATTGTGATATATAGTGTGTGTGTGTGTGTGTGTGTGTGTGCGCGCGCATAGGGCTGGGCAATATGTGAAAAGGTTTATCACGATGTATGTCCATGAAGATTCTCGTTCATCCAGGTCATGGTTATCTTGAAGGCAAAACGTCTTCTAAACACAGTCATGTTGCCTGATTTTGGAGTCTTTGAGATCTTTTTTTTTTTCCTATCAGCTGATATGGATCAATATCAGGATATAAGAATAAAATCTAACAGTGTTTATTGGTCTCATGTCTTTTCCAACGCAATAATCTCCTGCATCTGTGAGGTCTTTGTGTCTCTTTGGCGTTTGGTCGTAAGGCGTCGCTCTAGAGAAAGCCGACTGAATGTTTCGGCTGCACAGGCGCCATGGGCTCCTCGCTCCTCTCGGGGTGTGTAACCTTTTGCGTTGTGCGTGCTCGTCTTTTTTTCTAACAGTGCTGTCGACTTGTTATGTGCTATGGTTGCGTGTAGCTGCTGTCTGCTATGACACAGTTGTTATCATTGGCTATAGTCTGCTAAAACATGTCAGAATGCCGACTATTGAAAAGCGTATTGATCATGTTTTATATTGACATTAAGGGAAATTAATTTTTAATATATATTGTTATCGTTTTATCGAGAGTTGTTCAGAGGCCTCAGTTTGATGTGATGAAGCGGAAACACTGAGCGCTGATACTCTGATATGTTCGGACTCGTCCTCTTCAGTCGGTGTGTTCGATTGTAAAAAAGGATTTATCTGAAGGGAGAGTATTTTAGGTGGAGGTGTCTGAGACCTGGATGGAGCTTGATGGAGGATTTTCTCAGATCCTGAAAACACACATGAACGGCTGCTGGAGTTTGAGGAGTAAATAGGAGGAAAAGATGAAAATTTGTAGATGAACTTGTGTCCGACTCGGCCTCTTTAAGTCCTGATTATCATCAACATGTAAGAGTGTTTCTCATTTCTCATCCTTTGCTCTGATGTGATTGTTATCCTGGACTGATGAGAACAGTTCTGATGTCAAATATGTTGGTATTATCAAACTCATGAAGCTGACACTGACTGATGCTCTCCGTTTATTTCACAGTAAAAACATTGAGTCTGTCCTGAACTGGAATGAACCCGTTTCTCTGACAAACATCTGATTAGCGTTTAAATGATAAACACAGTCGGTGCTGCATCTGTCTGTTTCTGTCACTGTGATTATCTACAGCAGTATTTGAGTATTTAACAGTCTGGATTAAACAGTCAGGCTTAGTTAAACCCGACTTTTACGACCGAAAACCTTTTGGACTCATGGGTCCACTTTGACTTAAATCACCTGTCCCCCTCTGTACCTGCCGTCCTCTCCCCTTTACCTGGGACAGGTACGCCTCGACCTGAGGGCGGGGTCAGACTTCTGTCTCTCTCTTATGATTGGTTGTTTGAGGTTGTTTGATCTCTGCAGTGGTGGAAACACCTGTAGCTGCTGTAGGCCACACCTGTGTTCACCTGGGTCAGACAGGTGAGGGAGGGGGGGGGGGGTCAGCTGAGGGGAGAGAAAGTGAAGAGTGAGTGAGAGAGAGAGAGAGAGAGAGAGAGAGAGAGAGAGAGAGAGAGAGAGAGAGAATCAACCTGAGAGAAATAGAGGGAGGGGACTCTCTCTCTCCCCCACCCCACCCCACCTCTCTCTCTCTCTCTCTCTCTCTCTCTCTCTCCCCCACCCCACCTCTCTCTCTCTCTCTCTCTCTCTCTCTCGCTCTCTCTTTCACACACACTCACTCACTCACTCACCCCCCCTCTCTCTCTCTCAGCTGTGTGCCTCGTGCAGCTCGTGCAGCTCCGCTCTGATTGTTGGTTGGTGGATTAGGTGGTCGCTGCGCGCGGAGGGTAACCGTCTCTTTGTCGTGCTGTCATTCGCTGCCTGTTTCTCTCCGCGCGCGCAGCTGCTCCGGTCCTCGCGGTGATCTCCGTTCCTCCTCCGTCTCTCATCTCTCTCTCTCTCTCCCTCCATCTCTCCCTCCCTCTCTCGGCTCTGCTCCCTCCGTCTCCTCCTCCTCCTCTTTCTCCTCGGTCTCCGCTCCTCCCTCCGCGCCCGCAGCTCTGGATCTCTCCCCCGCGAACAAAGCCTGATCTCTCCCCCGCTCCCGGCTGCCTGATCCCGGCTGCCCGATCCCGGATCCCCCCCTCCCCTCCCCTGCAGTCAGCGGCTCTCCGCTCCGCTCCGGTCCGGCGGATCCGGGTTGCATGGTGGAGCTTCGGCGGCTTCAGCGGCTCAACAAATGCAGAAAAGGGAGAAAAGTTTCGGTAAGATGCTGCGTGTGTGTGCGGGCGAACGGCCCGTTTCAGGGCTGTGCGTGTGCGTGTGTGTGAGAACAGCGTCAAAGGATCCGATCTTGATCGGACCCGGTCTCTCCCGATCCGGTTTATTGTGATCTGTTCGTGTTTTGAGGGTCTCTCTCCGCGGTGTGTCCGTGAACGCGTCACGGCAGACTGACTGTTGGTGTTACTGTGTATGTGTATGTGTGTGTATGCGTGTGTGTGCGTGTTAAATCCGTTATTGGCCTTTACAGCTCTCCGCTGCCATGGCAACAGTAATTAAAGTGATCGGGTGAAATGTCAGCATCTCTCCGAACAGCTGCGACTGAAATAGCTGCTCCGCTCATCCCGCTCACTCCCCCGCTTACACCGGGGACACTCCGGGGACACCGGGCTGCATGTGGTCGGGACAGGCGGAGACAGCAGCGAGGAGAGGAGGAGGAGATAAGGAGGAGAGGAGAAGAGGAGAGGAGCAGCTCCTGAACAGAGGAGATGTGATCTGTCTCCTGCAGCTGTGAGTCTCTCTGCTGCTGAATGTGAAGCTTTTGTTCCGCTTCCTCCTCTCCTCCTCTCCCTCCTCCTCTCTTTCCTCCTCCTCTCCTCATGGAGGGCTGCTGTTTCCTGGTAGCAACTCTCTCTCTCGCTCTCTCTCTCTCTCTCCTCCTTTCTTTGGTAATGAGCTGACTTTGTGCTGAAAAAGAGTCGGCTCCACTCTGAGTCCATCAGGAGGAAACACTGATCTGATCTACAGCCTGTTAGTGATTCGCCGCTGAAATATAGTTCAACAGGAGAGGAGGAGAGGAGAGGAGGAGAGGATGCTCTCTGTGATAGATTTCTTTCGTCTGTCCTGAGCTCTTTCTTTCAGTCCGACTCTGATTCAAACTCTGATTTTAGAGCGTTAAAGACTGAGACAGACGGAGTCACTAACAGCCGTCAGGTTCATTCAGGTTCTGTCAGGGTTTGTCTGGTTCTGGTGTCAGAGTCTCGGACCGTCTTCCTGTTGTCACAAGTTTAAACCAGGGAACATTGAAAACGCCAAAATCTCACAGGAGGGTCAGACTGAGCCATCACTAACGACAACAAACTAACCTACAACTAAACTACGACTAAACTAAACAAACTAAACTAACACAAATTAAACTATAACTAAATTATAACAAACTACAACAGCAAACTAACCTACAGCTGTAACTAAAGGACTAATGTTTAACTGTGAGCGTGAGTGTTTATATGTGTGTGTTGTTGTTTGAGGACAAAGGGGAGTGTGTGTGCACGTGTGTGTGTGTGTGTGTGTGTGTGTGTGTGTGTCCTCCTTGGGGAGCAGCAGGAGAATACTAATTCAGCCCGGTGCTGGGGGTCCAACAAAGACTCTCCTCAGTCAGCTCAGGACAGACAATACAGAGACCACGCCCCCTTTCTCGCTCGCTCTCACTCTCTCTCTTTCTCTCACACACACACAAACACACACGTGCACACACATGCACACACGCACGCACAGAGGAGGTCAGGAGGACAGAAAGTGTTCTTTGTGTCTGTGTGGGCTCAAACATTTAAACTGTTTCTGCTCAAATTGATCTGGACACACACACACACACACACACACACACACACACAGCTGTTTCCTCACCTCCTTTCCTCTCCTCCTCTCCTCCTAACCCTTGTCCCTCAGTCGTCACAGCTGCTCTTTAACAGTAGGATTCTGTCAGAATTAAAAACCACCTTAAATGAGAAAAGATGAGAGTCTGAGAGGATGAGAAACGATGATGATGACGATGACGATGATGAAGATGATCAGCTGGTCTGCAGCTGCAGGGGCGTGTCTGAGCCCGGGTCACAGTCTTGCTCACAGAGTCCGTTAAAAACAGTTTTTCAGGTTTATTTTCAGGAGTCTCAGTCCTTTAAACCGGTTCACAGTCGGACCAACAGGGTCAGTAAATGATCAGGAACAGAGGGGTTTACAGCCGAGTGTCAGACCCGGATTCAGACCCAGATTCAGACCCGGTTCAGCACAAACAGTAACTATCCAGACTCTGAACCCTTAAAGCCTGGACTAAACCCGTCCAGAGTCTGTTTTCAGGGTCCACACTGATCACCTCCTGTTCCTGATTTTAACAGTTTGAGGTTTTTGTCTGAAACTCTTTTTAAATAAATGATTTTAATTAATATTTCTGTAGCTGTTTAAATAATTACAGATAATTAATGAATATTTCTCTGAGTAGTTTCCTCTCAGCTCAGAGTTAAAAACACATTTCCTGTCTGTAAACAAAACCTGTTATTAAATTTCTACAGCAGCATTATTATCTTTATTTTTATCTTATTTAGAAAAAAACGAAGCTCTGACTTTATTTCACTCTAATATTAGTCACTATATTTCAGTAAAATCAGATTAAATCAGTGATGAAGTTAAACCTCCTCAGAAGTGTGTAAATATAAAAATCAGAATTAAAAATGATTTTATATTTCTTTTTAATTTTATGGATTTTATCGACACAAACATTTAAATTTCCTGCTCAGTGTGACTATCATCATTGTTGAATATTAATGTTGTTTCTATTTTCATTTAAAGGTTTTAAATAATAAAATTAAAATCATCAAACTCTGTTTATTCACATTAAATTTATTAAATTAGGATTAATGTTTCCCTCCATATTCCGTTATAATGATCGACATAAACAGCAGCAGGTCTGAGCCTCATTAAAAAAAAATATTAAAATTATTAATATGACAAAAATCAAAATAATCAGCTGGTCAGCTCAGGTTAAATCAGAGTGTGTGTGTGTGTGTGTATTATCAGGTATTATTAAAGTCTCTCCATGTAAAATAATGAGCTGTATTTTGTAAATAAACTCACTCACTAAAGTCACTAAAGCTCCTCTCTCCGTTCAGTTGATGAAGAAAAACTCTGAACTCTGTCCAGATTTTTTCTCCCAATTTTTTTATTTTTATGGAAAATTAAAACCTGAGTTTTTTTTTTTTTAAAGACGTGATTTTACCTGCTGCGTGTAAAAACAGAGAGAGAGAGAGAGAGCGGAGACAGACTGACCGGCTGAGTTTAAAACCATCATCTCACCTCCTGTGTGTTTGGATTCATGTTCTCACTCCTGTCAGCAGAAACACACCCGCTCTTCCTCTTCCTCCTCTTCGTCTCTGTCAGATGAGTCTAATTGTCGTCTCTGTCTCAGGTATACAGATGCTGTCCGTCCAGCCGGACACCAAGCCTAAAGGCTGTGCCGGCTGTAACCGGAAGATCAAGGACCGCTACCTGCTGAAGGCGCTCGATAAGTACTGGCACGAGGACTGTCTGAAGTGCGCCTGCTGTGACTGCAGGCTGGGAGAGGTGGGCTCCACGCTCTACACCAAGGCCAACCTCATCCTGTGCCGCAGAGACTACCTACGGTAACACACACACTCACACACACACACACACACACACACACACAGTCAGGCCCTCGTCATCCTCACTCACTCATGAACTCTTCTTCTCACTGCGGGGAATCGAACTCTGTCCGCCCGTGTCTCCTCTGAACTGATTTATCAACAATAGTTAAAATCATTTAAAGTTAATTTATTTTTTGATGAATTTTTTTTTTTAAATTTATTTATTTCAATCACAAACTCTAAATAAATGTGAGGTTATTTAGAGTTTTAATTTATTTCACTTTTTCATTTAATTTAATAATTTTAATTCCAACATGTTTATAGATATATATGTAATAGATCAGTGGTTCTCGACTTGTCCTGAAGTCATGACCCACTTTTATAGAATTCAAACCAATTAAATTTTGTTTTTATTAAAGAAAAACCTTTAAAGACTCAAATCTTTAACATAAATCCACCGTTTTTATTAAGTAAAGTGCATTTGAGAGCACATGAACTGAGAATGACAACTACCGAAGTTTCGTATACAGAAAATATCAAAACAATATCAAATTGCACAAAATAAGCTTTTTTTTTCAAAATAAAAGACATGTCAAACATCAGATGTTCGTTACATATTTACTTTGTCCGCGACCCACTTTTGGGTCAGGACCCACCAGTTGAGAACCACTGTAATAGATCACACTGATGACCCGTCAGCCAATCAGGACGGGTTATTCTTCTGCGTGTTCTTCTTCTGCAGATGTTTGTTTTTACGTCACTGTGATGTTGGTGCTCTGCAGGTGTAGACGCTGAAGAAAAGGTTCTGTTCTGGTTCTGTCTCACTGATTAGAGACCCGGTGTTGTTAGTGTGGCGGTGTGTGTGTGTGTGTGTGTGTGTGTGTGACTGGTGTGCATGTTTATATTTGAGTCATGTGACCCTCAGGTACAGACCCACCTGTGTTCAGAGTGTTTAATTAAAGAGCTGCTTTCAGTCACTCAGGTGTAAATTATAAAACAGACTCATATGTTTTATTCATAATATTAATGATATATTAACATAAATATATATGTTTTATTTATAGTGTTAGTATGATATATTAACATTATTTAATATCTACATTATTATTATTGTTAATTTTTTTTAATTAACGTCATAAATGATTTATAGTAATTATATTTATGACTGAAGAAGCTGGTCTGTTTGACAGGTGAAGTTATTATTCAGCTGAGAGTTTAGAAAACACACACTTCTCAGAGTCACATTTGTACTAACGTGTGTGTGTGTGTGTGTGTGTGTGTGTGTGTGTGTGTGTGTGTGTGTGTGTGTGTGTGTGTATGTGTTGGGGTTTGTAACCTGGACTCACCTGTGGTTCCTGCAGGAACTTCATGTTTTAGAATCCATCTCTCTGTGTTTCTGCTGCCAGACGGTCAGATTTGGATTATTTCTCTGGTTCATATCCTGTTCAGGTCTGTCTGTGGTCTTTTCAGGTCTGGATGTGTTCTTTACACGTCTGTCTGTGGTTTTTTTCAGGTCTGTGGTTTTTATCAGGTCTGTCTGTCAGTCATTGTTTTTCGACCCTCGTGGTTTATCGCTGCTCTTTGGAAACTCTTTTGTGTTTTTTCACTGTGAAGCTCTGATGCTGTTTTCTCTTAGACTCTGAACTCCTGAGTTTGTCACATTTACTGCCATTTAAGTGTGCGTGCGTAAGTGTGTGTGTGTGTGTGTGTGTGTGTGTGTGTTTGTGGCAACTCTGTGGTTAAAATCCTAAAACTGTTGAGGATGATCTGATGTTTAAAACAGCAGGAAATATTCAGTCAGTCAGTCTCCCAGTGAGTTTAATGAGATCTGACTGACTGCTGCCTAATGTCTGTCAGGTGAATCATGATTCTGAAGAAAGAGTCTCTTTATTTTCATTTTATCTAGTGGGCGGGGTCAGGAAGGTGTGATTCAGATTGTGTTTGGCCACGCCCACTTTGTTCCAGAATCGGTCCAAATACTGAACAGCTATTACTTTAAAAATTACTTTATTTATTTCTGTTACATCAGGATTCAGAAAAAAACAGAGAGAGAGGGGACAGGAGGAGGAGGAGGAGGAGCAGGTAACTACAGGAACTCCTCTGACAAACACAGTTTACCTTTAATAATGAATAAACTGTCAATTTAAATCAAGTTTTAGTTCAATGAGACTCTGTGACGATCAGAAACTTCATTAATTCATAAATACAGAGCAATAAATACATAAATTTAACACAAACACACAAACACATGAGCAGGACTGAAGTGGAGACTGAAACGGTTTATTCTGTGTGAGTCCTGACATCGAAGGGTTAAATCTGAGAATAAATACAACTCTGTGTGTGTGTGTGTGTGTGTGTGTGTGTGTGTGTGTGTGTGTGTGTGTGTGTGAACACAATTGCAGGTATTATCTCCTACAGTTTGATGTGTGTGTGTCTGGATGCAGCGAGAACATTTTATCTGCAAATGATGCTCGAAGAAAAACACACACACACACACACACACACACACACACACACACACACACACACATATACAGTACGGTGTGAAAAGCTGCATCAGTTAATGGAAAGTGTAAATCCGGGCAGCATGCTGGTGTTTGTAGCGAGCAGCAGAACTACGCTTATTTATTTATTTGTGTTTATTTTTTTATTTATTTAGGTATAAAATTATAAATTCATAATTTAAATGATTCATTTATTAATCAGTTTATTTATTTTTCCATCAGACTTTTATTTTCCTCCACACTGACCCTCAGATTATAATTACAAACTCACAGAGCTGTCACACACTGAGAGTTTAGCAGAAATATCAGGTTATAATCCGATTAGATTAGATCACAGACTCCACCTCACCATCAGCTCCTCCTCTTCATTACTTCTTCTTCTTCTTCCTCTTCTTCTTCTTAGTCTGTTCGTAAGTGTGACTCCTGCGTCTGTCTGATTATTATCATTATTCTGAGTCTTTTCCTGGAGGAAGGTGTTTGTCTGTAAGAACCTGCAGGTCTGAGAGGAACCTCCCCTCTGAGGTATCGGTCCTGATGTTGGACTCGGACCCTGAAATTATTGAGATGAGTTACTCTGAGCGTCAAACTGAACCGACTCTCTTTGTTCACTCTCAGCTGTTTCTCTGCTCCAGCACCTTAGCTCTGTTTGATGCTTTTATTTTGGCGGGTTGTTTTGAAGGATGTTGTTCTGTGAAAGGTTAGAGCGCCCGCCGGGCTGCTGAATGCCACCATCATCACTAACTCTGTCCTCCTGCATTAAACACACACACACACACACACACACACACACACACACACACACACACACTCTGTTGTCTTCACTCTCCAGTTTTCTGCAGATTAGTTGAATCAGAGAGTTTTACTGTTTTATGTTTGAACTGTAAATAATCTGATAATTTAATCTCCACTCATCAGACTAGGGCTGGGCGATATGGGAAAAAGTTAATCAGGATATATTTATTTTCCTATCAGCTGATATGGATCAATATCAGGATATAAAAATCTAACAGTGTTTCTTGGTCTCATGTCTTTTCCAACACAATAATCTCCTGCATCTGTGAGGTCTTTGTGTCTCTTTGGCGTTTTGTCGTAAGGCGTCGCTCTAGAGAAAGACGACTGAATGGTCGTCTGTTTCGGCTCCTCGCTCCTCTCGGGGTTTGTAACCTTTTGCGTTGCGCGTGCTCTGCGGCGTGGCGCTGCTTCAGGTGGTGAAAAAGATTTGAGGTATTCCCCGACTTTGTGAGAACATGTACTCGACATAATTTACAGTCCACATTACTCTGCTTCATGTCCGACCTCCAAAAACCAAAATACCTCCACACCACCGACGTTTTCCTAACGCCAGTGTTGTGGTTGACATTGATGTGGTCATCTGTTGAGCCTTCATGGTCATTTCTGTCGGGGGTAGCACTCATTTTCTTTGTTTCTCACCAACAGTGCTGTCGGCTTCACCTGTTAAAGTGCTATGGTTGGGTGGAGCTGCTGTCTGCTACGACTTTGCTGCAGTTGGTTGATACTTGGTTCTAATTCAGAACATGATTGGTTCAGACCCGGAGAAACTCCCCTTTTCATTGGCTGTTCGTATAGTTTACCAAAACATGGCAGAATGACGACTATTGAAAAGCATATTGATCATGTTTTATATTGATATTGAGAGAAATCGATTTTTGATGTATATCGTTATCGTTTTATCGTCCAGCCCTAAATCAGACCCATGCTGCTTTCATCTCCTCTGTGAGGATGTTGTGATGGAGAATCTGGATCAGCTGTTCCGTTGACCTCCACCTCTGAACTTTTATGTTCCTCTGAAATCTGAACTTTACGATCTTAACGAACTTTTACGTCCGTCAGATCTTATTTCTAAGTCGTACCATTTTGACGTAAAGTTTTGTTGAGCAGAGACTGACGTGTCATGGCGTCTCGAACCGTCTGTGATGATCTTCAGACTCAGATCTTTGTTTTCACATCAGTCAGCAGTTATTAAAGAAGAAGCTTCATTTACAGACGTTTCTCTGTTGAACATGTTTTATTCAGCGACGCAGGTGTGTGTGAAGGTGAGCTGTACACCTGGAACCGACTGAGCATGCTCAGACAGAGAGAGGAGAGTTTGAGGAATCGAGCATTACATCATCCCTTTCTATCGTCCAATCAGATCGAACCGTTGATGGATTTATCCTGAGAGGAGTTCGCTCAGACAGACCGGGCTGAACTGGTTTGAACCGACCCGTGTGTGAGCGCCGAGTCCGTGTCTTCAGGTGTTTGAGCCTCGGTGATGAGGACGTCTCGCTCCGTTCACGCTCAGATCTGATACTCGGTTTAAACAGCCGCCCCGCCCGTGGTCAGGGTGATGGCGAGCGTCCTTCAGTCTCTTTGAACCGTCGAGCTCTTCAGAGAATTTTCTGGAATGTGGCTTCATTCAGACTCTGATTGAATCTGCGTCTCCACATTACAAAGAAACACTCAGAGCACAAAGAGCCTGTCCTGACCACACACACACACACACACACACGCACACACACACACACACACACACACGCACACACACTCTCCTGTGATGTCGTTAATCAGCCTCTCCATCACTCAGAGATGATTACCTGAGTCTAATGACACAACCAGGAAACTTTCTTTGAAGTCTTTGTGAGTTTCTCCCCCTCTCTCTCTCTCTCTCTCTCCCCCTCTCTCTCTCTCTCTCTCTCTCCCTCTCTCCCCCCTGCAGACTGGTAGACCTGCTCACTGAGCTACAAGGTGAACTATTCTCTGGCATGTGTTATTATTAATAACTGCCGTAGCGAGGGGTCACCCAGCGCCGCTCGCTGTAAAGCTCCCCGGGCGAGCCAAGTAGGCCACAGCTGGGCGTGCTGTAAAACAATACTCCCCCCTTCCTCCCCCTCTGCTCTCCCCCCCCCCGGAGGAGCGGTGCTGCTTAAAACAAGAATAATGCATGGGGGAGAGAGGGAGCGGTGAAAAATGAAGATGTCACCGCCGCGCTGTGAGCGAGCGAGCGAACCTTTAGCTCAGAGTAAGAGGAGGGCGAGCTGGACCGTTCTCCTCCTGATGGCGGCGTTAGATCCGGCACTGTCAGCTGATTGGAGGACTCTGGTCACAGTCACTCTTTCGTGGCGTTTTCATGGAGTCATGAAGATGTCCTCTTAGTTTCTGACGGTTTAGAGTCTGAAGTTCAGCAGGTTGATATTTGAAGTCAGGAGTGATGGAGAAGTGGGCGGAGCCATGGCAGCGTCGAACCACAAGGTCACCACAGCCGGGACCTCGGTCATTTTTCAAAATAAGAGTAAATATTCTAAGAGACTAATCAGTGTAGAAAGGACGAGATGAGTCTTACTTTGAAAAGCCCTGGTCTGTCTCTCACACAGACACGGGTCCAGGTTCAGAGGGTCGGACTGAATCAGTTTTCTGTCTCTCGGGTCGATCGACCTGACATCCACGCTCCGGCTCAGAGAGGCCGACACGCTGCTGAGGTCGGCCCAGAGAGAGGGCCTGCAGAGCGGACAGTCTTCACGAGACGAGGGCCCGTCTGTTCGATTTAACTCTCCAGAGAAATAAACAAACACCCTCAAATTCTAATTTTTTTATTTTAATCAAACACCTGCTCGTATTTTTTATCTCCATTTCTCAGAGGAAAGTTCACAGACGTGGAGGAGGGGGTCAGCAGATACTGAACTATCAGAGTTTGTGTCCCTCAGCTGCTGATGTGAGAGAGTTCTCCTCCCGCTCCTGAAACACGGAGCTGCTCTGTCGTCTGTTCGAGCGTCAGCTGAAACTGAACCATCAGGTGACTGCAGAGACTCTCCGTCTGCAGACTCTCCTCTGTTTTTGTGTTTGTGTGTGAAGTGGGCTGTGGTGTTTCCTCCCACTCTGAGTCTGAGAGCGAAACTGAGAGTGGGACGATCTCAAAGATGTTTGGAGGAGAAAAGATCCAGATTTATTTCTGCTGCTGCTCAGAGCGAGATCCCGCCGTCTCCACAGCTCAGCAGGTTTCCTCTGCGGTGATTTAAACACCTGCTGCAGTCAATTAATAATCGGGTTTATGAACCGTTTGGAGGGAAAAAAGGATTTTACATAAATAACCATTTTACAAAGTTTGGAAAATGACTGAACTGTAACCAAACATCCAATCAGAGGTGATCAGAGGAGGATCTGTCTGAAGGTCAGCGAATAATCAAACATTTAATCCGACTCAGGGACGGGAAACTAGTGTTTTAATTTCAGTTTTAGTCAATCTGTCATTTTAGTTTTTATTAGTTTTAGTTTAAACTCATTTTTGTTTGGTCGAGTTTTAGTCGATGATTTTAATCTCTTTAATAATTTAATTCTGTTTAACACAGTTAATATAGTTTAATTACCTAGTACAGTCAAGAATAGATCAAACTAAATTTTTCTTTTGGTGAAATCCATTTCACAAATTAAACTTGGTTTTCTTATTATTATATTATTGTTACTTTAGAGACTCAAGAAAAAAACATCCGTTCAGACTGATCAACAGATTTATTTGACCAAACATGGCGGTACACACACATGAATTTAAATTATTAAATTAAACACACCTGTGTTCGGCTGGACAGTGTAAAATATAAAGTGTCGTTACATCAGTGTCTTAATTTTCAGACCTTCAGATGACTTTTTAGATTCCTGGTGTTTTTCACGGTTATTTTACGGCCACATTTCCCCTTTTTTTTTCTTTTTCCACGACACACACGTCCGTTTTCTTTTCCACTTGTTTGTAATTGAAGTCTGTCCAGATATCATTTCTTATTTTTCTCCCCGACAACCCGACCATGACTCAAACTCACCCAAAAACGTCTTTACCCACCACATCTAAAAAAAACGCGAGTTAGGGGGTTGAGGATGGGATGTCACCGAGGAAACAGAAACAATAACAGCACGACTGAATAATTCCGTCTTGTCTTGTTTAAGTCACGTGATAAAGGTTCATTGACGACGATAATCAGTTAATCCGTTTGTCCGATAATCAGCTGTTCATGGAGCTCGTCTCTTTTCACCGTGAAGCTGAGACTGTAGAGAAACAGGAACATGTTCTCTGTGTGAGTCAGCATTTACAGTAAAACTCAGACCCACCACAGACAGATTCAGAAGGGGGTCTTCAGGTTGACGAGGACAGCTCGTTAGTTTGGAGGCGTCCCTCGTTGCTGATTGGTCGGCTCACCTGTTTGTAAACTTCACGGCTAACTCTCCATCGTTCAGTCATGATGTCTAACAGATGTCCCACATGGAGACCACCATGTACCCCCCTCACAGACCTGTTCCTGTGTTTTCAGCGTTGTTGTGTGTTGGTCGTCCCTGAGCGCGGTCTGACAGGCGGCCTCACTCCGTCAGGTTGATCTAATTCAGATTAACCTGCTAATGAAAAATTCATCCACTCAGTTACTTTCTGCGATTGAACACATCCATCATCTTCTGCTGCTTTTTCCACGACTGCGGATCATGTGACCGGCTGTCACAGAGGGAGGGGTCAGGGAGGTCTGTAACGGGCGGTCACATGATTTACAGGAAGGGGGTTCAGTAATGAATATTGACTGGTTCTGTGTTAAATTCATCCGAGCACATCGAGCATTCAAACATCTCCTCCTCCTCCTCCTCTCCGTCAGATCTCCTCTCTCCTTCAGATTAACCTCCCTGGCCTTAATAAACGCTCTGTATTGACTTCAAAGGGAGGGGGTGGTGCTATGCCTTATGGGAAGTGGATGTGGACCTGTTTAAAGACCCCGAGCCGGTCCCCTCCTCCTCCTCCTCCTCCTCCTCCTCTCAGTAATGGTTTCTTTCCTCTCCTGAATCTGCTCCTCTTTGTCTTTTTAATTAAAGCTGGGTGCAGTTTGGAGCTGTTTGACCCCCCCTGCCCCCTCTTTATGGGGGGGCTGCAGGTCATTTCCATGCATATATTAACCCCCCCTCTCCTCCTCCTCCTCCTCTTCCTCTCAGGCAGTGATCCTGAAGGCTTTACAGATTAGCGGCAGGTTTGAGTCGGGAGTATCGCCTGGTTTTAATCTGTGATGAGCGAGAGAAAGTAAAATGTTAAAGGGAGCGAACGTGGAGACAGTTTAGAGCTTCAGGATTCAGGAGGGAGGAGAATCAACACGACGTAGAAGACGACACGTGATGGATGTGATTTCAATAAAAGGTGGGGTAGACAGAGAAGCATCTTATTTTGTGGTGTATAAACAAAAAATCTTCTAATATCAGTCAATAGTTATTAGTTATTGATGACATTTGGTAATATATCGATATCTCTGTGTTCTCTCATGTCTGTGTCGTCAACATTTAAACATTTTTGAGCGGTCCGCTCTTTCTGACTGTAAACAAAGCCGTTCTCCACCTCCTCTAACCTGATTGGTTGTGAGGCAGACGCTGCTCCCCCGTGTCGTTCAGGAGCCCAAACAAAGTTAGCGTGCTACAATATCGGACAGTAGAAACCAACCAGAAAGTTCGGAAAATTGTCTGAATCCTCCTTTGGCCACGACTGCCGACACAAGCAAGAAAACACTCAAACATAAACAGTCAGCAAGAAAACAGTCAGCAAGAAAACAGTCAACAAGAAAACAGTCAGCAAGAAAACAGTCAACAAGAAAACAGTCAACAAGAAAACGTCAACCGTAATCAGTCAACAAGAAAACACTCAACCATAAACAGTCAACATCAAAACAGTCAGCAAGAAAACAGTCAACCATAAACAGTCAGCAAGAAAACAGTCAACCATAAACAGTCAGCAAGAAAACAGTCAACAAGAAAACAGTCCACACCAAAACAGGCAACAAGAAAGCAGTCAACAAGAAAATGCTGCTCCCCCGTGTCGTTCAGGAGCCCAAACAAAGTTAGCGTGCTACAATATCGGACAGTAGAAACCAACCAGAAAGTTCGGAAAATCGTCTGAATCCTCCTTTGGCCACGACTGCCGACACAAGCAAGAAAACAAAGTAAATACCGGAGACTCTGGAGGAATAACGGGCGCTTAAAACGGAGGTAGACCGGACAAGAGCTAAAAAGCCGGGTCAACATAAACGATGGGGGACGCTTGGGGATCTTGGTGACCCTGTAACCTTTCTGCTGGACAGGTAAACCGCTTTAACAAAGTAAGACAAGTGTCTGTAACTGAAGTGTTTCTTGTCAAACGGACCTGCTGTAGCGTGTTGTAGCGCCATCGCTAAACTGTCCTCCCTCGGGTCCTGGACTATGTCACTTTATCCTCGTTGTAGAAGTCCTGCAAACATTGTGTTTGCTGGTAGTCTGTTGGCATCTACAGTAGCACCAATGCTTTTGACTTTCACCTTGACTGGGCCCCATTTGTAATGATCTGAAGTATTTATCTGCATTATATCGGAATTTAATTGGAACGATACGAGCGAGCAGGAGCGTCTGTTTGTGGGCGGGGCTTAAGAGAGGGAGAGGAGGAGCTGAGGGGAAAACTGGTTGGCAGGGGTAACAAAGAACTAGAAATCATAGATGCTGCATCTCTAGACTCTATAGAAAAGTGGTGAAGTCATAACATTGAGAGCGCCCCCTGCTGACTGGTTCTCATCATAAGCCCCGCCTCCTCCATGTGAACAGGTGGCACATGTTTCTCAAACGTGGTCTCCGTCGTCGTCATCGTTAGTTTTTATCGAGCTGATTAATGTTCGTTTTGCCGACATGTTCGGTCCAATCATTTACTGTGACAGAGGGTTGGGGTAATGATGTCATGATTGACAGTTCTGTTGCCCAATGAGGCTCTTGCAGTGCCATGTTGCAAAAACACCACCATTAGGAGGAGATGCAGGAGTGTCATCCATCTTTATACACATTTAGAGCCTGTGACTCAACAGTGTGTGTGTGTGTGTGTGTGTGTGTGTGTGTGTGTGTGTGTGTGTGTGTGTGTGTGTGTGTGTGTGTCACTGTCTGGTCCTGTCCCTCTGGCTGCAGCTCCGTCACATATTTGGCTGTACGCTCTGCTCTGCAGCATGTTAGAGAGTGATAAGAGCTGCTGTTTGACACACACACACACACACACACACACACACACACACACACTCTAACCGTTCTCAGACCCACAGGCTTTGGCACACTCAGTTTTTCTCTTTGTTTCAGAGCTGTGTGTTTGGGAATCATCCTACAAACTCTGGAAGGTTCAGAGAGAGAGTGTGTGTGTGTGTGTGTGTGTGTGTGTGTGTGTGTGTGTGTGTGTGTGTGTGTTAGCCCGACAGGGAGACAGGCCTCCCCAACACACACACCTCTGTTAAAGTATTGATGCTGAATAGCTGGCAGTGACAGACACAGATGTGTTGCCGAGGATCAGATTGATGGTGAACGGAGCCTGCAGGAGGATCGGGTCTGGGGGTCTGGGGGTCTGGATCTGTGCCCAGGATGGGGAAGAGGGAGAAGGAAGGAGGAGAGGATGAAGTTAACGTTCTAGTCCAGTAGGCGGCAGTATAAGTTTGCACTGAAACACACCTGTGTATGATGACAGGTGAGCACAGTCTAACACGAGGATGAACGCTCACGTGTGATTGGGGCTGTGATGAGGTTGTTTTTAAGGAATCCATGTACTGTCAGTTTCCATGGCGACAGACTAAGTGTCATTTTTGGCGTGAGCTTAGGGTGTGATTTGACATCATGAATTCAGGTCTTCAAGTTCCTGGGTCACTGATCATCATCTTTATCAGGCTGATACTCCAGATCTACCGCAGACCAAAGACCACAGGGACCAGTTTGTCCTTGGAAGAGGATTCAAGGGACTAAGTGGGTCAGGGCTCAACAGTGTGACGGTTTCACTCACATTTGCATCTAAAAATAGAGGTGTGCGAATTGTAAAATGTATTTAGGGGCACATGTGCACATAAAAAAAATCAGCCGAGACAACAAATGTTTATTTTCCTGTAAATACGGCGGTGAAGTTAGTTTCAGGTTGGATATATTTTCCTGTAAATACGGCGGTGAAGTTAGTTTCAGGTTGGATATGTTTTCCTGTAAATACGGCGGTGAAGTTAGTTTCAGGTTGGATATATTTTCCTGTAAATACGGCGGTGAAGTTAGTTTCAGGTTGGATATATTTTCCTGTAAATACGGCGGTGAAGTTAGTTTTAGGTTGGATATCTGACGGACATTCTCTGAGGATCTACCGGTGTCTTCTCACTCTCCATAACCGGAAATAACAACAGCAGCGCGGTTAAATCTACTCGACACCCTCACTGTCAACGTCGGTGTTGAATAAGGGACCGTCAATAAATTTGTGCCCCTAAAGTTCTTTGTGAGCTTCTTACTTTTTCAATTTAGGAGAGCATGTGAAAAACGTTAGTGTCAAACCCTGTGGGTCCTGGTCCTGTTGGTTGAAGTGTTTACAAATGATCAAATGAATGATAACAGGTGATACAGGTGACACAGGTGATGCAGGTGTCCTGTGAGGATAATTAGTCCGTGAACCATCAGGACCCTCTGAGCCCCCCCCTCACTGAGGCCATTGTGGAGATGGATTGTGGGAGTGGAGCTGTTTTGGGGCTCCAGACTGCAGCTGTTAGGGCCACGGGGGTTTGAGGGTTTCTGGGGGGGTCAGTATGTATTTGAGGACTGGAGCGTGCTGATTGGTCAGAGTCAGCCCCTCTCTCTCTCTCTGGTGTTATTTGGACGGAGCTGAACCCCTCACTGACTTCTCAATTAGTGGGCGGCCTACCGGAACTGCCAGACACCACAACAACACACACACACGTACACACACACACTCACTCCTGACTCTGATCTGTGTGTGAGTGGTGATCAGCGACTCTGAGACACACTCTGATTAGACCGACTCTGTCAGCGCTCTATGACACACATACACACACACACACACACACACACACACACTACCTTCTGAAAATACCTGCTGGTTGTCGAATGATTGTGTGTGTGGTCAGTAACACGTCTACATTAAACACACTGACTCTACATGATGTGACACACTGCTGCTAAAAGCTACAGACACACACTGTGAGGTTTGTGTGTTTTTACTCTGTGTGTGTGTGTGTGTGTGTGTGTGTGTGTGTGTGTGTGTGTGTGTGTGGTAGGAACTTTGTGTCCATTAACCTCTCAGCACCACGTTTCTCCTCATCCATCCTGTCATTACCTCTTTAACAACAACACCGCTGTGTGTGTGAGTGTGCGTGTGTGTGTGTGCATGTGTGTGTTTGCTGCTCTCGATCAGAGGATTGATCAGTCTGATTATCAGTGTTTCTGGTTTCAGTTGGTTTGTGTAGAATAATTCAGTTTCATGTTGATTCACACAGAATTATCAGTCATGGTCTGAAATTAACAATTAAACACTTTTTCCAAAAATTAATTTAAAATCCATTTAAAACTCTAAAATAAACATATTTATTAGTTAACCCTTAAGTTAACATGTTGATGCTTCTTCATCTTCAAACTTGTCAGGTTTTTAAAGGCTGTTGGTGGCGCTGCTGTATCCTCCATGTTTGTTTTGCTGCCTGTCTAATCCAGTTTAATCTAGAATAATCCAGTTTAACCTGGTTATATCAAGTAAAATGATGTATATCCAGTTTAATCCAGTTATATCCAGTAAGTAAAGTTTTACCCATCTTAACCCACTTAAACTGAGTTAAATCTAGTTAAATCCAGTTTAATCCAGTTTTAGCCCATCTCAATTCCGGTTAACCCAGTTCAATCTAGTGTAATCCAGTTTAACCTGGTTTTATCCATTAAAATTCATGTATAATCCAGTTTAAATCCAGTTATATCCAGTCAAACTAAGTTTTACCCATCTAAACCCAGTCAAACGCTGTTCAGGTCAGTTGTATCGACTTTACCTCAGTTAAATCTAGTCAAATCCAGTTTAATCTAGTTTTAACTCATCGTAATCCAGTTAAACCCAGTTTAAACCAATTTAACCCAGTTAAATCTAGTCAAATCCAGTTTAATCTAGTTTTAACTCATCGTAATCCAGTTAAACCCAGTTTAAATCAGTTTAACCCAGTTAAATCTAGTCAAATCCAGTTTAATCTAGTTTTAACTCATCGTAATCCAGTTAAACCCAGTTTAAACCAGTTTGACCCAGTTTTACCCAGCCCTAAATCTGACATTACACCCTCATAAAACATGACCAACACAGAGCAGTGAGAACAGCGCTCACACTTTGAGCTCTGCGAGACAGTCTGATTGATCCAGTCTTGATAGGAGTGATTGACGGGTGTCACTGGGTTAGTAGAGGTCAAAGGTCAAAGCTCATACCTGGATGCAGCAGGCTGTGCTGCAGTAAAGCAGAAGTTTTAAGGTGTTTTTTCTCCTTAAATTAATCTGGTTTAGAGTTTAGTGTTTCTTCCTGAAGCTCTGTGTTTTTCCCTCTAAGCGTCTTTTTTTCTCTCTGCAGCAGTAATTAGTCGTCTCTGAGCGTTTACGGGCTGACAGTCAGGCTAACAGCGCTCTGAACGCTCTGCAGTCTCTCACACAGCGGCCCATAATTCATCATTAGGATATCAGAGTCCAGGTGCAGATGAGAACTGATGTAGCCGGCAGCCGGCCACGTCGGGGCACTCAAGGAGGAAAATCTTATCCCAGGGACAATTCCCAGGTCACGGCCGCCGTAATTGAAATAATTTAGCCTCCAGAGAGGTTTAATCAGCCGCCATCACAGAGCAGAGGAACGCAGCCGTCTGTGTACACCGTCTGTCTGTCTGCAAACTCCACATCTGCCCGATCGAGAGAGCAAAGAAACCTGATCGGAGAGAAAACGCTCCTCTAAACACAAAAAAACGCTTCAGCTCTGAGTAACGTGACGCTTCTGCAAATTCAGTTATCCAGACAAAGTTACTCTGGAGTGATCTGTGTGTGTGTGTGTGTGTGTGTGTCTGTGTGTGTGTGTGTGTGTGTGTGTGTCTGCAGAGCCCCCCCATCAGACACTGTGCTGTCTTCAGTGTTATTAACCCTGAGCTCTAATTATACAGACTGTCACAGATTTCCACTCTGTGTGTGTGTGTGTGTGTGTGTGTGTGTGTGTGTGTGTGTGTTGGGGGAGCTGAGGTGTGGGCTGGTTGTCTGCGTGGCGGGCGGACGAGCGGACGGCTGTGCTTTACTGAACTCGAACACATTCATCATGTTGACTGATGGCGGGGTGGCGGCGGGGGGTTGGCGTCCAGGGTCCCTCTGGTTAATGTAGTGGGTAATTAACTGTCATTGGGCTGGTAATAGGCCCATGATCAATGGTTTGTGAGGAAACACATTCTAATCCTGCAGCTGATGAATGCACGCCAACGCCACCGCCAACACTGTTGCTGCCCGCCATCAGGAGGAGAAGGAGGAGGGGGCTAAGCCGCCACTAGAATATAAAATAACCCCCCCCAAAATGGATTAGCCTAAAAAGATCATTTGTTGGTCTTGATGGAGCTGAAAACTCAGCCAGGTGAGCCGCAGAGCGAGAGGGCGGAGCTATTCATCAGAGTCAGCAGCAAACACACGTCTGAATCACAACATCAACACAACAACATAAAACACAATTTAAACACATTTATAAACATCTGAGGCCAGTTTAGTCCAGTTAAGTCCAGTTTGACCCGTTTAAACCAGTGTAATCCAGTTTTCCCCAGTTTAATCTAGTTAAACCCAGATTTATCCAGTTCAATCCAGTTAAACCTGGTTTTAACAGGTCATTTATACAAGTCATTTATAATCCAGTTAAATCAAGTTTTATCCAGTTGAATAAAGTTTAATCATTTAACCCAGTTTAATTTATTTTAATCCAGTTTAATTATTTAACTCAGTTTAATCCAGTTTATCCCAGTTTGATCACATTTAATTTAGTAAATCTTGTTTAATCCAGTGTAATCCAGTTTAACTCACTTTATTCCAGTTTAATTTAGTTAAACCCAGTTTAATCCAGTTAAAATCAGTTTTACCCAGTCTAATCTGGTTAAATCCAGTTTATTATAGTTTAATCCAGTGTAATCCATTTTAACCCAGTTTGATTACAGTTTCATCCAGTTTTATTCAATTTTATCCAGTTTATTCCACTTTAAATCAGTTTTATCCAGTCTAATCAGGTTAAATCCAGTTAATTTTAGTTTAATCCAGTTTAACCCACTTCATTCCAGTTTAATCCAGTTTAAATCAGTTTTATCCAGTCTAATCTGGTTCAATCCAGTTAATTTTAGTTTAATCCAGTTTAACTCTCTTCATTCCAGTTTAATCCAGTTTAAAACAGTTTTATCCAGTCTAATCTGGTCTTGGTCATAAACAATAATGTCATGACTTATAATTTTGATAACACAGACACTTTCACTGACATGAATTCTTACTTTTAAGGAATCAACCGTTCATTTTGAGACAGTGACCCACTTTTGCAGGTTTTCCACCTGGTTTTACAGTTTGTACGAACTGTTCTGAGAAATTCACCAAAGAGACAGGTTTGTAAAAGTAGATCCTGGTTCCTGGTCTTCATCGTGTGTCTTCAGGCCTTCAGCAGACCAGGTTCTGGAGTCTGACAATGTTGGTCCCTTTCTGGTGTGATAGAGGATTTCAGCTGCTCCACCTTTCAGGGTCTCCTTGGTCCTGTTTTTGGGGTCATGATGCTCCAAATGTTCTCAGCAGGACTCTTCTCCTACAGAGCCCGGCTGTTCAGGGTTTAGTTTGGACCTGCAGGAATCAGCTGATGATGATTTCTTTATTTTTGCATAAAAGAGGCGAGAAGAAGAAGAAGAAGAAGAAACTCTGATCCTGGAGCTGAACTCAGTAAACTAGTTACTGCTGTCACAGACACGACTAACCTCTCTCTCTCTCTCTCTCTCTCTCTCTCTCTCTCGCTCAGGTTATTCGGTGTAACAGGAAACTGCGCGGCGTGCAGTAAACTCATCCCCGCCTTCGAGATGGTGATGAGGGCCAAAGACAACGTCTACCACCTGGACTGCTTCGCCTGCCAGCTCTGCAACCAGAGGTGAGTCATGTGACCTCAGCATCTCCTCACCTGTACCTGCAGGGGAATACACACACACACAAACCCACACTGACCCTCCCCTTCCTCACCTGTGATCCTCCCACCTGAGTGTGTAAGGAGGCTGTGAGGGTCCAGGCTGGGGGAGGAAGAAGGACTCAGAGACGAGGCGGGCAGTTAGCCACAGATCATCCTGAGGGGACAGGTAATCGATGAGCTGTCGTCCAGCCTCATCATCCAGACACCGCTGACCCACTTCCCCTGATGAGCCCGAGGCCCAGAGGGAGGAGGGAGGGAGGGAGGGGGAGGTCAGCTCAGAAGGGAGGATGCTCCTCTCCGACCTCTGGTTCTCCGAAAGTCAGAGTTCAGCTCGTTAAAGACAAACAGCCAATCAGAGATCAGCTGATGTTTGAACTGGTATCAGGTTCGTTTGGTCTGCAGGCTGGAGGGAAAGATGGACCACGTGTCTCCATCCTCGTCCTTGTCCGGTCTACCTCCGTTTTAAGCGCCCGTTATTCCTCCAGAGTCTCCGGTATTTACTTTGTTTTCTTGCTTGTGTCGGCAGTCGTGGCCAAAGGAGGATTCAGACAATTTTCCGAACTTTCTGGTTGGTTTCTACTGTCCGATATTGTAGCACGCTAACTTTGTTTGGGCTCCTGAACGACACGGGGGAGCAGCGTCTGCCTCACAACCAATCAGGTTAGAGGAGGTGGAGAACGGCTTTGTTTACAGTCAGAAAGAGCGGACCGCTCAAAAATGTTCAAATGTTGACGACACAGACAGAAGAGAACACAGAGATATCGATATATTACCAAATGTCATCAATAACTAATAACTATTGACTGATATTAGAAGATTTTTTGTAAATAAACAACAAAAAAAGATTCTTTATTATTGAGCTGAATTATGTTTGATTGACAGCTGATTTTGTGTTTTTGTTAGATATCAAACTTTTTTTTTTTTTTGTTTCTGATAAATTTCGGACTTTTCCGACTTTATTAATAATAAATCTTTCAATCTTGTCGTCTGTAACGAGCGGCTCCTCCCGGCTCCTCCCGGCTCCTCTCGGCCTCCTGCGGTCTGACTCTGACGGTTGGACTCATTCCTCGTCTCTCGCAGCGTTCGGTTTCTGTCTCTCAGTTTTTTGGAGCTTCACGCCGACTCCTCGCTGCATCTCGCTCCCGATAATTGGTCCCTGATGGACGAGACAAATCACGCCGTCTCTCTGCCCTGCAGCGTCGAATAAACACGGAGCAGATACCTGAGCTCCTGCAGCAGCACAGACGTTAGCATGCAGGGGAGTCAGGGCGCCCTCCCCCCTCCTCCCCCCCTCCTGTAAACAGCGGCGCGGCTGTTTGCCGACCTTGTCCAACCTGCACGCCGAGCGAGATAAGCGGCCCTCAGGACAGCAGGGCGAGAGAAAACGTCCAACGCTGAAACATAATCTGCACTCAGCGCCGCGCTCGGAGGTCCACCTTCAGCACGCCGCCCCCCCCCCCCGCCCCTCACCCCCCCATATTGACAAAGCTAAGGATGCTAACGCCTGTGATGCTAACGCTAACCCTCTTTGTTCCGGCAGGTTCTGCGTCGGGGATAAATTCTTCCTGAAGAACAACATGATCTTGTGTCAGACCGACTACGAGGAGGGGCTGATGAAGGAGGGATACGCCCCCCAGGTCCGCTGACCCCCACAGACCCCCCCTCACCCACTGAGGAGAGAGAGAGGAAGGGGGGGAGAGACACTGCAGGAGAGCTCATAAACTATCAGCACTGTGGACGCTTCCTGCCCCCCCCCCACCGCCTCAACATGTATATACACCCCCCCACCGCCACCCCGGGGAGGGACTCTGCTGTACAGAACAGCCATAAAGACCCCCGGGGGGGAGGAGGGGGTGAGGAGGGTGAGGAGGGTGAAGTTTGTACAGTTTTCAGTTCAGAGGCGTTTCAGGAGCTCCGCCCCCCCGACCCCCTGACCTCCTACGAACATTGATCAGCTGATGCCCCCCCGGACCCTCACAGTTCTTTGAGGAGTCATCCTAGGATCCTCTCTGAATCCTTCACTTGCCTCCTTCCCTTACTTCCTTTCCACCAAAGATAATGAAGAGACGTGAGGAAATAAGGAAATGAGGAGAGAGGAAAAAGGAAACCACTTAGGAAGCATGAGACGTCCTTTCCTCCACAGCGCCACTTTAAGTGACGCCTGTTTGTGATGTCAGCATCAGCTGATCCCAGCAGGGACAGTCGGCGTAATCAGCTGTTTTTGATATTAGACGCTCCTCTGATTTCCCTCCTATCTCCTCTCTCCTCTTTCCTGTCTCCTGTTTCCTCTCTCCTCTTTCCTGTCTCCTGTCTCCTCTCTTTTATCTCCTATCTCCTCTCTCCTATCTCCTGTCTTCTCTCCCCTCTCTCCTTGTCTCCTCTCTCCTTGTCCTGACTCGTTTAGACTCTTTGAATTCTGGGTAACAGCTGGAGGCAGGTCGCTGCACCGGTTATACTGGTTGTGGGGGTCCTGGGTTCTGGTGGGGGTCCTGGGTTCTGGTGGGGGTGCTGTGGTCTGGTGGGGGTCCTGGGGTCTTTTTCTAATTAATTTATTTGATAAGTATTGATCACATGTTGTCCTGCTCCGTCCGACTCTCGGACTAAAATCAATCCGACGGTTTCTCGGCGATCTCTCTGCGGTTCTGAGGTCCGAAACTGGTCCGGGTTCAGGTCACAGAAGAACCGACAAACAAAAAAGACTGAATTCTGAGTTTCTAACCTATCAGAAACGTTCAGCTCTGCAAGCTCCGCCCACAAACCACCTTCAGAACCCTGATGGAGGTGTGGCTTTACTGGACTGAACTCAGGTGAGCGTCGGTTCTGCTGCAGAGTTTCTGGACCGACAACCAGCTGAACATGAACTCAGTGGAACCAGCAGACGTCTCCAAACCTGTAGGGGGCGCTGTGTTTGTGGATTCAGAGATTAAGGACGGTTCGTGTTTTCTTCCTGTCAGCTGACGTCTGGATCGTCTGAAACGGATGAAATGGTCTTTGTTTGTAAATTCTCGGTGTAGATAAAGAGGTCGTCCGCTCTGCCTGCTTCTGTACGAAGATTTCTTTTTCTGTGTCATCAGCATGAGATGTTTATTTTCAGGACAACACCGACTGTAAATACTGATATTGTAATAATTTTAAGCACAAATGTAATACAGTTTTATTGTGTTACCTCGGAGTCTCTGCTCTTTATTCTTGACTCGGTGTGAAGCGCCCTCTGCTGGTCACGTTCAGCGCCTGCAGGCCTGAATTTGTCTGATCCAGCTTTTCTTCGGCTCCAGGATCTCTGCAGGTTCTGTTTCGGTGCTGTCGTGTGTCAAACGTGGAGGAGAACTGTCGCTCGGTTCAGACTCAGCCGTCCTCCTTCTTCTGCCCGCCGCCTGTTTCCCATAATTCCCTGGATTTCAATTTGCAGCGCAGGAACGTGGAGGTAAAACATTTGGATTTAAGTTATTGCTCTAATTAGCGAGGTGCTTCTGAAGCGCCCTGTGAAGTTTGTCGACAGCCGTGCTTACATCACATTACAGCCTCTAATATCCAGGCCAATTAAGCTAATTGAATTTCCTTATCCAGAGACACAAGGCGGCGAGGGGCGGGGGGCGGCGAGCGGGGGTGTCTTTGATGAGGCTGGAGCTGCAGATAAAAACAGAAGAAGAAGAAGAAGATGGAGATTACACCTCGGTCAAATTAAAAGAAAGAGTTTCTACCACAGGGACAGATCTCATTAAAGCAGCCAAGTGTCACAACTCACCCTGAACCCAGCCGCCGCCGAGAGACGCCGCCATGTTATCTACACTGAGGAGGAGGAGGAGTCACAGGAACAAACACGCCACAGTGACACTTCTGTGAGACGTCAGTGTCCGACAGAAACCTGCCCTGACCTCAGACCGACACTCACACTGGAAAACTCACAGATAAGAGCGACACACCTGTGATCCAGGTGAGTCAGGGTGAAGCCTGGTCCGACCCTCAGACCTGGACCAGACTCTGCTGCAGGTCTCAAACAGCATCAGGTCCGACCCTCAGACCTGGACCTGACTCTGCTGCAGGTCTCTCACAACGTCTGGAACTCCTCAAACTTCTTCATCAAACTCTGCGGTCAAACTCAGGTCAGCGGTGAGACGTCTGTCCTCATCATCTCAACAGTCCGGCGGTCATACTACATCCTCTACTGGTTTGTGTGCAGGTAACCATGGCGACTGAATCGGAGTGAAACACAATCAAGTCAAAGCTGAAAATATTGCTCCCCTTTTAATGTATCAGAACAAACCAGTATAGAATAGAACAGAACAGTGTAGATTAGAACAGTATAGTATAGAATAGAATAGAATAGAAGAAAAATAGAACAGAAGTAAAAAGAACAGAACAGGAACAAATAGAATAAAACAGATTAGAGTAGAACTGTGAATAACAGCACAGAAAATAAGAGTATAGAAAAGAACAGAATAGAAAATGTAGAAAAAAACAAGAAAATGGAACGGAATGGAAGAAAATAAATAGAAGGGAACAGAATTGAAAAGAATAGAATAAAACAAGAAAATAGAATAAAAGATGATAGAATAGAACAGAATAGAATGAATTGCAACACAAGAACAGAGTAGAAGAAAAACAATAGAATAGAAGAATATAAAATAGAATTGGACAAAATAGAAAATATATAATAAAACAAGAAAATAGAATAGAATAAAAGATAATAGAACAGACTAGAATAGAATGAATGACTGTACAAGAACAGAAGAGAATAGAATAGACACTCACAGGACCTACGTAGACATAAACTGAGCAGATAAGAGGTAATGACAGTTTAATGTAAATGTTTGATTTTGTTATAAATATTAACGTCATAAAAAGGTAAAAAGTCTCTGAATTTAAAGGTTGACGGTGTGATGTTTCAGACAGTGGAAAAAGATTTAGTAGACTGTGATTGGCTGACAGGTTCCTGTGGAGGTCAAAGGTTCCTGGTTGCTGTTACTAAAAACACAAGAATCTATGATAGAAATAATAACCTATGACCTCCTGTCGTCCCTCGGGTCGGTCTGCTGTTTGTTCAAGTCCCTCAGATTTATCCTCATAACTGTCTGCATGCTAACAGGCTCAAACAAACAGAGAGAGGAGAGCCCGCCTAAGTCCAGACTGACGGAGCACAAAGACAAACAGCGCCGCTCAGCTCTCTGCGCTCATTAGGAACCTTTACAGGAAGCAGTAGCTGCCAGGCGGCGTATCGTTAGCGTCTTCATCCCTGTGCTAGCTGACCCTGGAGTTAGCGCTGGCTGAGCAGTTAGCCCCGCTCCGCTCTGCCAAACGGCTCCAG